ACAGAGGTGCTTAAGGGTATCATATTAGAGATTGAGAAAATATGTATTTAATGGAAAGGACCAAATCCCCTTGAACAGGGCATCAAAGTGGAAATGTCCTGGGGGAAATGAGCACTTTTCCCATTGAGGTGGGACCAGTTGCTCCCCTTGGAACGTGCTCACATCTTCCAGGGAGCTGTTTTTACTCCAGATTGCAGCAGATGGTTTGGTTTGTGGATGTCTCTCAGGGGGGGGATGGAGAACAGTTGGGAGTTTTAGAGGTGAATGTACAACTTCCTCTCTGAGAAAGAGATTTGGGGAACAAACTGGTGTTAAATGGAAAACTGCAGTGGGGGGTCATAACTTGGTCTGACATGCAGGTGGCTGTGCCTGAGGAACTTGTCATTCTGCTGAAGGGGGAAATCCTTTCAGGAATGTCGTGACTGGCATTAAACAAGGAAGGAAAACCCCAGGGCAGTAAAGTTCCAGGAATGCCCCGGGAGGTGGGAGGGTCTTGCTGGCTGCCAGCCTGGCAGGAGGGGCCTCCTGGACCAAAACCCACGTCTGTCAGAACCCCCCTAGCTGGTGTCACGTGTCACAGCTGTAGTTCAGAGCTGGCACCATCCTCCTGCTGACCCTCCTGGTGGGAATGTCAGCATTTTCCCACTCTGGAATGCTGTGTGTGCACCCAGGGCTGGGACTGAGGCCCCTGCAGTCCTTGACCCCCCGGGTGAGCTGCAGAACAAACCACGCTTGGTTTTGGTGGTTCAGATGCTGCAGGTGGCACAGGATCTCCAAGGGGTATTTTTAGCCCCCAAAATGCTGCAAGTTATGCTTAGCTTTTGGGCAGGTTTTCAGAAAGGAAGTCACAGCAGTATTAATAACAGCAGGAAATGGGAGAGACTCAGAGCAACTTCCTAAAGCCTGACCAGCCTCTCTCTCTCTCTGTGTCTCATCTCCAGAGCCCCAGCTTACAGAGGCCTGTTATTCCCACAGAATTTGGTGCTAAAGTCCCAACCAACATTCGGCAAAGATATCTCAATCTCTTCATCGATGAGTGCCTGAAGTTCTGCTCCTCCTCCCAGGAAGCCTTTGACAAGGTCTGTACAGCCCCTTGCTTCTCAGGGAATAAAGGCCAAGACCTTCTAAAACTGTAGCAGATCCAGAAAACTGGCTTGGATTTGTGCCTGCAAAGACTTGGGAGTGGGAACTGGATGATCCTAAACATCCAACCCAGAGCATTCTGTGGTTCTGGGAAAACTCTTCTATGCTCACACAGTTCTCTAGAGGAAACTGGCCTTAAATAATTCCAGACTGGGCAACAGAAAGTGGAATTCCAGTGGGGGTTCCAATGGGAAGTCCCATCTTTCCCTTCATCTGATGTGTTTTAATAAGCCCAGAAGAGGAATGCAAGGGGAATGTGCATTGTGGTCCAGCTGGACAGAAAGAGCTGTTGCTCTGGTACAGCAGGAAACACCTCCTGGAATCCGAGTACTGAGCACGGGGAAGTGTCTGGGATACATGGAATTGGTTGGGAGTTGTTCCTTGCTCCCTGTGAGGGCTTTTCAGGAGACTTTTACGGAGCCTTCAGGCAGCAGGAAGAGTATAGTGGGAGTTCCAAAAGCAGAGTTGAGGCAGTCATACATTTTATTGGAAAACTTTGGCCATTAGTGTGAGTTGGGAAAACACAGGTCATTGTGTGGGGTGTTCTGTAAGCAGAGCAGGTGGGATTTTACCCTCACAGCTCCCTGGGGAAAACGTTCCTGTTGCATCCGAGGAGCCACCATTTGCCAAACTTATTTTTCTTAACAGTTAAGATCTTGTGCTGCACCACAGTGGGGAGCACAGCCTTTCCCAGGCAGTTCCAGAACTGCTTTGTTAATCCCTCAGGGCGAGTTTCCCATGAAAATGCTTTTTTCAGCACTTTGATTAGAACCCATTATTTTTTTTCTCTGACTCACCTGAGCAGGCCCCAAACCCAGTGCATATTTGTGCCATGTATTCATGACTCAATTCCTTGCCAGGCAGTTTGGTTTTTTTTTTTGCTGTCGTACTTGGAGTCTGTATTTTAAGAGCCAAACATTTCTTTTCCCCAAAAGCAAGAGCAGCTGTGGCTGCCCCTTCCCTGGAAGTGCCCAGGGCCGGGTTGGACAGGGCTTGGAGCAGCCTGGGGTAGTGGGAGGTGTCCCTGCCCGGGGCAGGAGGGTGGAAAACGATCTCTAAGGTCCCTTCCAAACATTTCTTTTCCCCAAAAGCAAGAGCAGCTGTGGCTGCCCCTTCCCTGGAAGTGTCCAAGGCCGGGTTGGACAGGGCTTGGAGCAGCCTGGGGTAGTGGGAGGTGTCCCTGCCCATGGCAGGAGGGTGGAAAACGATCTCTAAGGTCCCTTCCAACCCCAACCACTGTGGGATCCTGGGAAGAGAGGGAGGAGAGTGTGTGGTGATGGGCTGTGCTGTTCCCAGGCTCTGTCAGAGGAGAAGGTGGCCTATGAACGCAGCACCAGTCGCAACATCTACCTGAACGTGGCCGTCAACACCCTGAAGAAGCTCAGGAGCCTCGTGCCCAACTCCCCATCCAGCACCAACAGTGGGTACCACACTTGTGCTTTACTAACTGGGGCCCTGCTTGGGTCAGAAGCCACGGAGACAAACGTGTGGCAAAGGCAGCCCCCATTTCTCAGCTGTGCTGAAAGGCAAACAGCTCCAGCTCAGCTTTTTATAGCCTGGCCAGCTCTAATGGGCCTTCAAGAGGCGAGTCCTGCAAGGCTTTGTTGGCTCTCTGAACCTAAATGGAGATAATGCCACACGGATCCCTTTTTTTTTTTTTTAGCATAAGTTCTTTAAAATGAAAAGCCCTGCTAATGGAGTAACTTTCACATGATGCCTTCAAAGTGATAGACTCGTCCATCACCCCAGAAATCTGTTACACACATTAAGCTTCAAGAGAGAAACGAAGAGGGTTAAGACATTTCATTATTGGCTCTCGAGAGGGTACATTAAACAATCAATTTGTGCTGTTCCTGTGAATTTTTTCTTCCCCCAGTCTCTTCCCTTTTCTCCCCTCTGTCTTCATTACGTTCCTGGCCATTAGTCAGAGCGACTGAACTTGGGAGGCTGGCCTTTGTGAGAGGGCTGCCAGCTAATGATTAGTAAAAAGCCCCTCTCTGCCATTGTCTGATGTGCTGAGCACATCCCAGAGCTCTGAAGCTCCTTTCTGAAAGAGGTTGAAACATTCAGCGTGGGAGGCTGGTCTGCAGGGCCCCAGCAACAAAGCTGCTCCTGTGGGTGGGTGATGCCACCACGCAGCACATGGTGGGGTCAAGTTGCTTCTGTGCTTGGTCCTGTCTTGCTTTTGGTCAGTGCAGGGTGAGCAGGTAGAGCTACGAGGTTCTGGAAAAACTGTAAAAGTGTCCTTGCTGCCCTTAAAATGAGTGGCTGTGGCCTGACAGTGAGAACTGAAAACTCGCCGTAGCGCTGGGATGAAAATGCTGGGCCAGCACCTTACACACAGAACCCACTTCTGGAGCAAAGCAAGAATCCAAGAGGATAAACACAGAGTTCCTCTTGCCCATGTGTAGTGCCCCAAACTAGGACTGAAGTCACTTGCTGGTACCTGATCTCTGTCCTCTTTTGCTGCTTCCTTCTTTCTGCAGAGACGAGTAACAAGAAGGTGGTGTCCCACGAGGCTGTGCTGGGGGGGAAGCTCGCTGCCAAGACAAGCTTCACCCTGAACCGCTCAGGGAGCCTGAGAGCTGAGGATTTGACAGGTAAGACCCTGCTCCTGGGGGGCTGTAACGTGTAGGGTGGAGCTGGAGGTGTTACTGTGACTGGGGGAGCAGGATCAGGCTGGTGTGTTCACCCCACGCAGCTCACCCCAGTCCTGGGGGCTGTTTGGGGCCACAGTGTCAGAGGGATCTGAAGCTGTTGGAGAGTGTCCAAAGGAGGGACACGGAGCTGGGGAAGGGTCTGGAGGAGAAGGGTCTGAGGAGCAGCTGAGGGCACTCGGCTGGTTCAGCT